TCAGTGGTAACGTCTCTGACTGCAGCACTGGGTGGCGTGACATGAGTTCCTTCAAGGTTGCAGATACGCCTAGCTGACTTGTGAGTGGCAACTAGCACGAAACCTTGGTCAAGCAAAGCTTCCTGCCGATTGCCTCCAACCATCTAATACTGTGTTAGAATGTATGAAGTTAATAAGTACCAATGGCACAGCGGTTAGGACGCTCGCCGACCATGCACATGGCCCGGGGTTCGATCACCGGCCACCAACTCACTCCTTTACCTCGCTAAGCCAGAAATAATGCTGGTAAAGAGGAAAGGGTGGGCATGAGGCTAGCAACCCCATCCTGTAAAAACTAAACACTGCTACAGAAACTTCAAGCCACTAGCTTGAAGCCCTATGTTCCACTGGGGAACGTGAAGGAAAACAAAATATTATACCGCTTAATTTAGTGTTTTTGCTTATTTGGAAAACCAAGATCTTAACATAAATGATCTGTAATATACAACCCAGTCACTTCACTGACACATTCTTACCTTCGTGTTCACCTAGTTGTTGTTATCATGTCGCCATTATTGATTAAATATCAAATCCATTGACAAATATCTCAATGGCTGACCTGTTCGTTTTGGAATATGAACATATTATAATTCCTACGGTGAATTTTCAAACCATAATACCTGAATACTTGACATACAAGCAGATTACACTGATATTAAAGTTGTGATATATCATCATGATTCAGCCTGTCAATGGTTTGTACATGAAATAGGAACAAGACAAAAATATCTAGCGAAAAGTTTTAACATTTTGCTCAAAATTTTGGTTTAGGAGAAAGTATTAGGCACAGAGACCTCTAGTGCAAACTTATGTTAAACAACATTAAGAGATTGGATAGTTTATTGGTCTGAATTACTTCATGAAGGGTTAAGAAATCCTACACATTTATTCCATACTATTATTCTTTAATGACTTTTATTAGTATTCAAGTGTTGGTTTGTAGAGATTTGATTGGTTACAGGATTTCATCATGAGATAACGTTAGCTAGAGGACCATTGGAAAACCTGGGAGTACTGGACAGCTGTTTCGTACTGGTTTGAGAATCTTCAGCAGTATGCACCCACCGGGGTTTGAACCCAGGACCTTCTGGTTACGGCTCGCGCTATGTCGTGAATCGGCAGAAGTTAGAATTCATGGGCCATTGGATCGGGCCCCAGTGGCTTAATGGTATACGAGCTCGCTTTGTAACCAGAAGGTCCTGAGTTCGAACCCCAGTGAGTGCCGTCCAGTACTCTCAGACTTTCCTCAGCTTGTCTCTGTTCTGCTGCACATTTTACCTTCAGAAAGTTATGATTACTTACCAATCGCTCCGATGAGTATGTGTAATTTGTTGTGTTTATTGTAAACCTTTCATGTAAAACAGCCTAAGTTATCGACTGAAAGAAATAACCAGACACCTCTTCTTGTGTTTTTTGTTTCAATCGATGACTTACGAAAGTGAAAGTCAGGAGATTATTAGAGCGATAATTTACAGCCAGGCGTATAGCGAATCGTAACATACCTAAATTTAAATATACAGTTTCACAATAACTACGTAGTCTTGATTTTATAAAAATATATATCTGACCTTCTAACCGCTCCAAAAGGGTTGGTTAGATGTCATTTCATTCCCACTTGAGTCGACATTCTGCATAACTAATGTATATATTGATAATGCATACTTCTCTACAGAATTTTATCACCAGCTTGACAAACCTATAAATTCAAACCTTCATGATTTCAGTCTCTATTTTAATTTTAAATTTAAGAAATTCTTCATCTCAGTTTTAACCCTGATATATTTCCTTGTGTGGCAGTCAGATACGCATAGACAGCTTTAAAGGAAGGTTAATGTTTTAAGTAAATAACAACAAATGCATTTGTTAGATTAAGCTATATTACATTATCAAGGTAGCTGTATCACGGGTAAATATCCGATTACTTAGATCATTCAGTATTCATTGATATCGTCTAAAGTTATGTAACGGCAGGAAATAAGGGTTAAGCAATAAGACGAAAATTTGACCAACTAGGTTATTTCATATCCACATCGTAAACTAGATCCAGATTTAAAGAACAAAAACACTTCTACCTCTGCAGCCACTGTCTTAAAATGCTGATTTCAATTTTTGTCCGCTTCTTATCAATCTGAATCTATACATACCACTTGTAAATTTTGTCGGTAACACACGCCACAGCTACACTAGCCTTTAAAGTCTGTTTTACTGTGTTCACTTGTTTGCCACCTGACTACGGGTTATATGATGCTTTTGATCTAATTTCGTAGCTTTCTTAAGTAATTACAAAACCAAATGTTAATATTTGCTATTACGCAATCATCTGGCATAGGATACTGTGAATAAATCTGGGATTATTCTTGTAATAGGATAATTACAATACCATAATGCACAAGGACACAGTGCACACACGACCAGACTGGTCATAAAATTCGAAAAGAACAATATTCGAATAGTTATAAAAATGCACACTTTATGCTGAAAATTTTGCTTCTCTTGCTGCATATTTTCTGCATTCTCTCACTTTGTGAATATTTATCTTGTATACTAAATATAGTGATTCGATGGCACAGGGGTAGAATGCTCGCCAACCACTCAGGTGGTCCGGGATTCAATCCCCGACCAACGCACTTCTTTGCCTCTCTAAGCCAGTATTAAGAATGGTAAAGAGGGAAGTTTGGGCATGAGTCTAGCAACCCCATCCCGTAAAAAAAAGCACCACTGCTACCGAAACTTCAAGACTTTAGCTTGAAGCCCAATGTTCCACTGGGTACGTAGAGGTATGAAAAAAATAGACTAAATACCTACTTATTTATTGAATTGAAATTTGTTTAGTGATTTCACTTTCAATGATAATATCTTTTAATTATCTGAATTGTTTTTAAGGCTTGTAACTGAATTTTAGTCACTTGAAATATTTATCATGATAAATTAAGCTATGTGCACGTATAGATAGTTAAATCTCATACTTTATACTCCAAAAAATACACTAGATTAAGCAGTGAGGCTTTTTACTTATTAATCCCTCTTAACACTTAACAAATACGTGACTGTACTTTATAGTTTAACATCACTCCATGCATATGCGTCATTTTCTCTTTGGTCATTCTAAAAGTCATATTAGAAAGCCTCAGATGTACAATTCTTCCTTTCCTACAACAGAGTGTTCATCAGAACTCCGTGTTATCTTGTTAGAAATCACAGGTTAGTTTTCGACACAAGCTAAGATATACTGTAACAACAGAAGACAAGGGCCAGACAACAGATCGTTTTATTACGGAAATCAGCACGGATTCATATATATTTCATGTACATTATTATAGCTTATTCAAGCAGACAAACACAGTCTTCTGATTGGTTGTTTCTGGTTTCTCGGAAAGTTAACCCATACATCTGCGAATCTTATTTACCCACGTTAAGTCTGCTGTGATTGATTGTTGAATCAGCCTTGTTCATCTTTTCTCACGGCCAATATTAGTGACCTAGACATTGACGTAAATTAATGTCTACCTATTGGCTAGCAGCCTGCTCTCACCACGATACTACTACCCCTTGCTTTTCAGGCTATTCAGAGGCGACATGAAATGAATGTTTTAACATCGCTGGTGTGTTTATGTAACAAGATAATAGGAGCTATACAGGTTCAAGATAATTCCATATTAGATAAGTTTATCTGAATGCAGTATATGACAGTTATCGAACAACTGTCTTTCCGGTTACAGCCTCTGTGGTGTGTGTGTGCTATTGATATAATTTATCAGCAGCATATAAAGAGATTTTCGTCGGCATGAAAACATCAAATAGCATGGAGATAGATTTGATGTCAGAAGGCGAATGATACAGCGTTGCGGAGATACATGAGAGACGTGAAAGGAACACAGAGGAACAAAATACGAAGGCCAGAAGTAGTACAACACGAAAAATCTGTGCAAATGGTGATTTGCAGATTAAGTGTACATAATTTTGCTATATGGAGATCCCACATTCCCAATAAACATTCTTTTATCAAGTCTTTTGTCTTCTACCGTTACATCTTGATTAGCTGGCTTTGACTTGTTATACCAACTATCATCTGCGCTGCCATCTGATCACTATTCTTCAATACACCAACTAGATCTTAAAGTTACTGCCAAAGAATTTTTCAAGAAGAACAATGAATGCTTCAAGATCAAACCATCCAGCCCAGGGATGTAATAACCCTAATAGATTAGACACAGATTTACTTACTTTCTCTCTGTGAATTCTAGGCTTCAATCTCAAAGATACTTTTAAATACTTTCATTTCATCTGTCTGCTCGGAGCTTCACTCAGTTTGTTTTTCACTTCCAGAATGGAATTTCCGATAAACGCTTAAGGTTAGAGAGTTAGTATATGAAGAAGTGACTATTTCAAAGCAGCTAGTTATCACATAACTTGACCTCACATTTTTTGTTTTTCCGACCAAGATTGCAACCAACACGTTACTGCACATACTTTCCTCCATGGTATGCTTCATTGTAACCCCAAGCTACATCCTTTTCAGACTCGTGTATTGACTCACATACACTTTAAACTAGTACTTTGTCAGCTAGTAACTTCAGTTCTGTGAAATATATATATATATAGCATACGAGAGCTTCGCGCTTAGTGGAACATGAATACCTGAGTTATTCACTATGGCATATAAGTTGCTTCTTGATCTTATGTAGCATAGGAGGGCCTTGAGTTCCATATAATCCTTAGAAAAAACCATCTCATCCTTGGAGAGATCAGGTCTAAGTAAAGTTACCAGTAAAGCACACATTTGTCACAAGCAATGAAGCTGAGAATAAATATCTGTTATCCGCTTGGGTATCTTACTCTAACCACCATGATGCTATTGGTATTACAGTGTATATGAGTATCAATGATAATAATGATAAGGGAGACTGTATTTTATGATAATGTGGAATTTTCTTATTATATTATATTATCTCCACTAGTTAGAAAAATAGGAGGACGACGAATAATTAAAACAATCATAGGGAGTGAAAAACACGCGACAACGTACTAATAAACTAATCAAAATGGAACATCGAAAAGTAGATGTTCAATATTCAATGGTCACCAGTGTTGTCCTCGTTAATCTAAAGGTATATATTATAATCCACAGAATTATTTTACATTAATCAATAATGGCATATGTATTGATAACATGATTATTATACAAATTGACTTTTTCAGAGAAAACTACTAGTAAGTAGTATGTAAATCATGAGGAATAATGGTAGAAAATAACAAGAATTTCTAACAAGATAATTTACTAGTATGTAGTTACTGTATTCAAGATAATCAGTATGCATACAGTCTGATTATACTTCATGATGTGAATGGGTTTAAATTCGGCGGCGGTACAACACCCATGTTTAAATTATTTTCATAGAATAAATAATCTGTACCACTTGTGCAGGGATTTGCTTGAAGACAACGAGCATAGCCATTGGATATGTAGGAGTTGGTCTTTGTTTTTTCAGGAATGTTATTAGTGGCATTGTGTCTAAGAGATTCACTAAACAGATTCAGAGGATATCTTGGATGCTTTTGATGAGGAGTACGATGCTCTTCACTATAGTCGTGTTGTTGTTGTTTCATTTGCTTCTGTTCCTTTTTTCTACTATGAGAAAGATCCTGATGAGTTTGGTAATAGTCAGAAACTTTGTTTTGTTGACTTAAAATATCTCGTACACTTGGTCGCCTTGACACCGAAAAAGGATAAATTTCATCCAAAGTGGTTTTACTGCATTTCAATTCATTTTTCTTACTCCTCTCCAAATATTGTTGTGAACAGCACTTGTGTGAGGTATTTGCTGATTGAAATTTGTTCTCAGAAAAGCACGATGTAGCTCCATGTTCTGCAATCTACAAAAAAGCAAGTGTATGTCCAGTAGATAGAAAATAGTAGAACATTAAATGATTTTGTACTTATGTTATACTACTTGTAAGTAGCATAAATTTGCTGAATAAAATGTTTACTCAAATGGGGAGATGTTCAATAGGTTTCAAATCGCATTGAAAATGATGCATATCAAGTCAATGAAAGCTTAGCCACGAAATGAATTCATAATAAGTGCATTAAATGCCAATCGCTAATACAAGCAGTTAGTATCTACCAATAATGCTTTCTAAATAGAATGTTGTGATCTAAATGCTTGTTGGCAATTCTGCTAGTATTGGTTTAGTAGGGATTTTGTTTGATTGCATGGAGGATTTAATCATGAGCTGACATCAGTTAGAGAACCACTGGAAAACCTTGGAGTACTGGACAGCTGTTTCGCCCTAGTTTGGGACTCTTCATCAGTACGTACCCAATTCTGCTAGTGTCTGTGAGTTAACTCATCATCTGTGTTAACATATCTGTTAAGACTCAGAGAACAGAACCATCCAAATCTAAGCAAATTTGTTGCATGTAACCACAACTAACCCACGTTGGTAGATTACAAACAAACAAATTGCTTTAGGGAGTTTGTGCTGAAAATTATACCATAGCACTATAGCTAAATCATGTATCTTTTAGCTAATATGAAAAGTATATATATATACTGAAGTTCATGCCCCTATTACAATTGCAATTTCTTTCTACTAAGTAAGGAAGCATTCATAAACTTAAAAAATTTTGAACAATGCAAGAACTACAGTTTTAGCAGAATAAAATGGTACCATCTTTTATTTCGTTGCCTTCTCGTCAGCTGCTTACATGGCAAAGACATTATTAAATATATCTACAACAACAATTTTAACATACTTGCACAGAGTTCAGTTTAAACAAAAAATCAATCGATCAATATACGCATACACTAAAAATATATACATATATAAATATGCAATATTAACCACTATTCCGAACAATAATAATCAAACACAATGGAAACTTTTAGCATTTCACATTCGGAGGAAAGAGAGGTGAAATTATCCAGTTACCAGGGCAAAGAAAGGCTGATAACCGCTTCTTTCTGGACGCATAAATCAGGTTTCATGCGCTTGATGGAAATGGCTTCAGCAAACTTAAGGAGAATGGAGCTATTTTGCTTATTGATAATTTTGAACGACTTTTCAACGTCCACCTCATGACCCGTGTCGAGAAGATGCCTGGTGATGGCACTATTTAAAGCATTTGTTCCCTTTAGACGTAAGCTTTTTGGTACATGTTCGGAAAATCGTAGATATGCCCTTCTTTCTGTCCTTCCAATGTAACTGCTCCCGCAGATACATGCAAAAAAGTCCATGAAACTGACCACATGCTTTCCAGCTTGATTACTTTCTTTGAATCCTTTCCGAGGTAGACCGAAAAATAAGACTTAGCTTTCGTGTTTCTTGATAGTCATAGATGCATGTTAAGTACATATTGAGGAAGTTTATAACAATAAATCATCACTCATACATAAACATTGTGAAGGGGTTCATAGAATCGTCCACTGGTTGACTGAGTAATTTTCCATTGGATCCCAAGAGAAAAATCGCCTACGGGACAAGCGATTTCTTATCGGAGAACATCACATAGGGTTTATTTGTATCCACAATAAAACTTATAAATTATCTGAGTTATCAGAGTCTATAATTGTACGTTTATTGATGATAAGACTATAATCAACAGACGTACATGGTCCTGAGAAAGCTAAGACTTACCGGCCGCTGAAGGCTACGTTGAATGACACAACAGTATGGTGTACACTGTTGAACAGAGTTATTACAGATGGTAAGTGTAAGACGCTGTGCTAGTAATAGGCTTCACGAATTTTCGTTTGTAAGAAATACGACCGTAGTCTAAAATTGTTTACGCTCATGGCTGGCTACCTTTTCATGCAAAATGTGACTAGGATTTTAATAAATCTGAAAATGCATGAGTTGCAGTCACATTTTCTTCTGGCACAGATTATTAAATCATTTCAAAATAATTTTCTATTGCAATCCAAAATAGAAAACGAAAATAACAATGTCTGCAGTCTATAGACAATTAATTCACCCTTTTTAGCTTTTAAAAAATCCACATTAATGATAAGTTAAATGCATAAAATCTCTGTTTTATTTAGCTATTTGTATGTCTAGAACAAAAGTGTATCCACATTTTTGGTATCAGTTATGCTAAATAAAGTCATTAGGAGAATGGACGGTTGTCATTTAGTGAAAATCAATCGGGTGTGAGGACAAATACTCGCCGAAGACATTGGCTAGCGGTCGCGCTATGTCGTGAATTGGCAGAAGTTAGAATTCAAGGACCATTGGATCGGGTCCCAGTGGCTTAATGGTATACGAGCTCGCCTTGTAACCGGAAGGTCCTGGGTTCGAATCCCGGTGGGTGCGTACTGCTGAAGAGTCTCAAACTAGGACGAAACAGCTGTCCAGTACTCCCAGGTTTTCCAATGGTTCTCTAACTAATGTCAGCTCATGATGAAATCCTGAAATCAATCAAATCCCTACAAACCAACACTTGAATACCAATAAGATGCTCACTGGCGACTGGCCCTATTCAGGTAGGTAGTTACCTGGGTTCCAGTGGGAAGTCGTGACCAGTAGGGTGCAGCTGGTCGGGTGTGAGGAGAAATACTCGCGAAGACATTGGCTAGCGGTCGCGCTATGTCGTGAATTGGCAGAAGTTAGAATTCAAGGACCATTGGATCGGGTCCCAGTGGCTTAATGGTATACGAGCTCGCCTTGTAACCGGAAGGTCCTGGGTTCGAATCCGGTGGGTGCGTACTGCTGAAGAGTCTCAAACTAGGACGAAACAGCTGTCCAGTACTCCCAGGTTTTCCAATGGTTCTCTAACTAATGTCAGCTCATGATGAAATCCTAAAATCAATAAATACTCTTTTTCATTCTTTTCTGATTATCATCCCATCCCAAATGTATTTTCCTAGTAGTTGAGCGATTACTATAGGCTTATACATCATACTTGTGTTAATCTAGTAATGATGGCTAGAAACATCATCGAATATACGATGCTCACACATTTTTAGCACAGTGTGACTTCATAGGCATGGTAACGCTTTCAATAATACTTTAGAATTACACTCATAGATTCGAATGAAACTGTTTCGTTGAAAAAAACCCAATGGTTGGTGACAGTTTACGGTCGTATTTGAGACATCTTTCCAACCACTAAGAAATATATGACAAATATTTTATCTCTATGTGGAACTATGCAGTAATTCTTATCTATCGAAATGCAAGAGGTCAAGCTCAAAACCGGTTGTAAAAGTAGACTACTAAGGCAGACTGGATGATCAGTCAGGTTCAGAAAAAGTTAGTCGGTTAATTGGGTGCATAGGCAGCAGTCACTATTCTAGCAGTTAAGTTTGCTATTGGCGAATGTTGAGCCTGTACTCCATGCGTACACTGAAAAGATCCTACTACTGACCAAGAGCCAAATACAGTGTACACTGTTGCATTCACACAGATAATGAACTACAAAATAGAAACTGAATATACGGAAAATATGGAAATATTTCAAGCGCTTGACCTGTCTGATACCCTCAAGGTATCTAATGATGAAACTGTGCCTGAGTCAAGCGTTCACACGTCTCATTTACTGTAGTGTGTTGATGCCGTTATTAACCATGTAAAATATTACTCGAAATGATTTGATCAGTACCATAACTGAATACAATCTCTTCATACTGATTCTACGTGTCTAAACATGCTTATGAGAAAGAAAGGTAAATTAAATCAATCAATAGCTATGTTATGCAATTAATAGTGTTCTCTGAGCTGGTTGGTTTAGTTGCGGAACTTTCGTCGTCCTTCTGGACATCTTCAGTGCAATATTTAGCATAAAGTGGAATGATTTGAATTTCTTCATGAGTGACATAATTGCGTCTCCCGGTAACCATCTTTACATATGTATTGACCATTTTCTATTGACTTGGATTTTAAACTTTCTGGTCACCTGATTTACTTCTTATTAGTTGGTATATTTCATCTATATTAACGTGTTTATTAATTGCATTTTCGTTTGAGTACCAGGCTTCTAGGAATTCTCTGGCACATTTGGTGTTTCCTCTGTTTAAGATTTCGACATTATCCCAATCAAATTGATGTCCATGATCGTCTGAATGTATTGATACTAAAGAACATATATCATGTCTTTTCACGGCTGATTTGTGTTCCTGGATTTATTAGTTGGTATATTTCGTTTATATCAACGCACACAGATCAAATAGTCAACTATACTAGCAATAATCCAATTACTCACAAAAGAAACTGTCTGCAAACATTGTTTAAAAGAGTTCAAACACATTGTAGCACTCCAGAGTTGAAAAGAATGGAAGAAAAATACTTACAAATGGTCTTCAAGAAGAATGCTTATCCACAAAATTTCATCAAAAAGTGTTTAAAGTCGAATCAAAACACCAACAAAGAACCATCATCAAAGACCAAAAGGAAATTCATCCTACCATACATCAGAAATATCTCTGAAACAATAACAGCTAGAATACTGAAACCGTTTGATATAGATATAGCACACAAACCAGTCAAATCGCTTAATTCGATATTATGGAAACCAAAAGATCCAACAGAAAAAGTGTATGAAATTAATTCGATTTACAAAATAAATTGTATGAACTGTAACAAGCATTACATCGGCCAAAGTGGGCGTCTCCTTCGAATTAGAATCCAAGAACACAAATCAGCCGTGAAAAGACATGATATATGTTCTTTAGTACCAATGCATTTAGACAATTATGGACATCAATTTGATAACTGGGATAATGTCGAAATCTTAAACAGAGGAAACACCAAATGTGCCAGAGAATTCCTAGAAGCCTGGTACTCAAACGAAAATGCAATTAATAAACACGTTAATATAGACGAAATATACCAACTAATAAAAAGTAAATCAGGTGACCAGAAAGTTTAAAATCCAA